GAGGTCCATGGGTGTATACTAGACTATGTGCTCTTATAATTGCTCTTGTACAGTTTAAGATCATTCTAAAGCTATTCAGAAAGGTCATGTGAATGTGACTTTTTAAGTATCAATTAGTATCACTTTTCAAATGAGTATCTAGTTTCAATACTAGTTTTAGTATTCATTAGTATCTGATTTTCAATACTTCTGAAAATACTAGCCCCATATTAGTCCTGGTTTGGTCCTAGTTCAGTCCTTGATCATTTATATTTCAGTCCTAGTCCTGATTTAGTTCTGAGATGAGTCATGGAACCTGCTGTGAAAGTGTAATAGGAAATCTAAATGAGAGGATGTTTTTGGAAAGCATGTAATTAGATTTATAATGGAGGCAGAAAGGTAAACATTGTTGATTTGTAACTTTTTTCAAGTTGGTTTTCCAGACATAATTATCTTCCAGTTAGAGAGATGTTTTAAAGTCCCATTATATTACCTTACAGATAACAATGAAAGGAAAAAAAAATACTATCACCAAAAATACTTAGAAAGGTCTAAGAAAGTCAGATTTAAATGTTAAAAAGGGGTAAAACAAGGATTAAAGCAGAACTAAACCAGGAATCATCGATACATTCAATTTAGGATTCAACGAGGCATTGAACCAAATAGTGAATCAAGTCTAAACCAGGACATCAGCAGTTTATTAAACAATCTGTCTATAAATTTAATAAATATCCCTCTAGTATGACATGGTATGATATGTCCAAACTTGGTCAGAAGTGTCCACTCTCTCTGCTTTAGTGCTTAGGCTGAAATTCCACAAACAAGAGATAAGGCTCCATATACTCCACTCATACTCAAATATAGACAGTATATATATAAAGCACATTTAAACACTATGGAATTCAATATGTCTCCATGTTGGATCTTGTTCCACAATATGGCATTAAACCTCAAATTAAATCTCCATGGAGACAAGCAGGTGACACCATGAGGGCAAGTTACAGGTCAAATCTGGAGAAGTAACCCAACTCACAGTAGGCTTGTTTTCACACAGCCACTAGTTAGTTAATAGTCGCAGTCTGGACCGCAGTAAATGGCCACAAAATTGGAAACAGAATGAGAAAAAAAAAAAAAAAATTATATATATATATATATATATATATATATATATATATATATATATATATATATATATATATATATATATATATATATGATTTTTCAGTAATTGAGTAATTGTGCAAAAAGAAGACAGACATTTTGGAATTAAGTAATATGACTTATGACAGCCTATTTGAATAAAAATAAATACAAAACTTCCCTCACTCTCTCGTGGGACAAAACAACCACTTGAATGTCCAAGATTCACTACAGGCTCCACTTTGGCATTATGAGGACAGTAAAGTCTGTCTCAGCCTTACAGCATTGTTCAGTGCATGGATGTGATTGGTCAAATACAGTTACATCATCTCTTTGTGTCACTGATGCGTCCTACTGATTAAACGGTTACATGTACGTTTAATTAAAGTCTGGTTCTCTATGCAACACCATAATCCTGCTAAAAAGGATCAAGACTCGCAATGTGTCATCAATACGCCAGGATAAAAAGGGCTGTGTCTGCAAGAGTAGGGCATCTGGAGTAAAATATATGCTGTGCTAACATTTGTACATTTGTTCCTGCTTGTACTGGTTTGATTGTGTGTTGACATGATTTGGTTCCATTGGTTCACTCTATACTTGGTAATCTACTATTGTAGCCACAACTGCCCTGCCCCTCAGACCACCACCAACACACACACACACACACACCACATTCATACTACCCAAGGTGGGTAAAATATCTTGCTTAAGGACACAACAACAAAACTTGGTCTAAGCAAGAGTTGACCCTACAACCTTCAGGTCTAACCACTGAGTCACTGACAAGATTGAACCTTTCTGGACAAGCTGTAGGACAGTGTTGAGCTATATTAGAACTAGTTTAAGACCACATGATAACATTTAAGATACACAAGGCAACTTTTCTGAAGGAGACTCTGCTGCCTTCATCTCTATATAGAGATGTTATTGCTTTTTCTAGAATGTCCCACAGTGTGGTATTAAAATGTCTCACTCTTGCATTTATAAAATCAATAATCAGGTAAAAAATATCGTGCTGTATGTATTAGACACTTCATCCACATTAGTTATACAATTTTAAAAAGGGTAATACAATTGCAACTTGGGGTCACCAGCAGTGCCTTAACCTGCATAGAGGACACACAGGAAAAATACACATTTTTCTCAGTATATCAGACAGAAAAGCCATAGCTCCTATGAAAGCTCAGAACCTCCAGAATTCACTCACTGCGCTGATGAATAATCATCTTGAGAACCAGAATCTCAAATGACTGAGTCATTTATTTTTTTGATTGGGACAGTGCATGTTATTGACAGACATGATACAACATGAATGTAAACACAGCGGATTATAGCAAAAGGCTAATGTCAATCCATTGTTCCAAAGTACTGGAGTCACAAAAGGCCAAACAATAAAATAGTGCACACTCCATTCATCTCCATCATCTCCTAGATCACATGCATTTTAAGAATAAACTTTTCAGAATCACCAAGCAAGCAAACAAAATAACAGGAAAAACCCAGGCTACTTTGACATAACAGCTGAAAGGAAGGCGTGAACTATAAATGTTGACCATTCCCACCCACTGAACCAAGTCTTTGAGCTTCTCTCATTAGGGCGACAAAGTCCCAAGAGCCAGGAAAAATGTCTATGAGAATATGATTGTCCTCACTGCTATTTTTGAACAAGATATATATTACATTATTTATTCATTTTTATGAAAGGGGTTTTATAGATTGTGTTTTAATGGTAATTAGAGTGAATTTGAGTGTCTGAAACATGTCAAAGACAATTTTCTGTTTTTTTAAACACACAAGATTCATAATTTTGGAGTTGTACCAGTGAATATGTTGAGTATTTCGTTTTGGCTGAGCTCCACTCGAGCCAGAGGAACAAAGCTTCTCCTGTATGTTCTATTGTAAAGGGATAAAGTTACTTCAACAATCGTCTGCTCATGGCATCTGGAAGCTATCAGGGCCTCGTCTCCAAAGATTAAAACAAGAAAGTCCTGCTTAAGTTCTATGTTGCATCTTATTCTTATTCTTACAACTCAACTATTACTTGAATTTATTAAAAAAGTTGTCAAAGCTGTACCTGATGTTTCCTGTGAAAAATAGAATTAGTTCATTTTAACAGTGGACCAGTGTTATTCCTCACTTATCTTATGCATTCTTAGCATCATAGTTATCCACCACAAGGAGTTTAAAAGCGCTTTTCACACTTTTCAGAGACAAATATTTTCTCTAACAACAGCTAGCAAGCTAACAAGCACTTTCTGACTTTCGGACAATAAAACATTTTACAATTATAAACAGACAGCATGGAGCGGACTTATTTAGACACATTTTACTCAAACACATTGTAAACAATGACGTACAGAGCCTTTAAAGCATGATGGGGGTGAACAATATAATCAGATTTGGCATTATATCTAAATGCTGTAGACATTCAAAATTGGCCAGCTGAATTTAATGCATAACCTTAATTAAACTAATTTAACTGTAATATAATATTTTTCCCAGGATTTGATTCCTGTCAAGATGCTTATTTAACATAACCAGATAGCCTGAGGCATATTTAAAGTGGCACCGTGTCTATGGATGAAGGCAGGTGAAGTCAACAGGCCAAGTTACAGGTAAGATCTGTGAAGAGGCAATCCCACTTAAAGTAAGTATATTTTTTAACAATAAAAAATCTGTAATTACATTAATGTAAGATAGTTATGTTTAAATCAATATTGTGGGACATTCCAACACAATTACATCACTGTGGAGACAAAAGAGTGGTAGACCCAAACCACAAAAGTTACACTGTGCACCTTTAAGTGTACATCAATAATAATAAAAATACAAATCATGATTTTGCCTCTAAGAAAATTGTGCTATGAATTTTTGTGAAGTAAAGCAGATGGTACCATACAAACCTTTTAGAAATAATAATAATAATAATATTGATAATAATAAACAGATTGTGTTTTGTTGACATTGTCTTGGTAGACTATATTGTCCCCTGCATTTGAACTGTCCTTCAACCACTGACCTGTCAGGAGCAGTTGGTCAGGAGTACATAGGCAAACAATTAGCGCATTGTGTACGGTTGCACAATATCTCTCAAAAGTATCACAATATTGACTATTGTAATTATCGATATTGCAACAAACTGAATATATATCACAACAACCTCACACTCCTCTGACAAAAAATTGTTTACAACATTGTAATAGGCAGATTTAATTAATTATTTCCCTTATAAAGTCTTAATTACTTAATTTAGTCTTGATTTTGACGCAGTTTGCCTAAGGCATATAAAATTTTTAGATCTAATATAGCTGAAATTAATGTCTCAAAAAATAATGTATATTGATGATAATCTTGATATTACAGTAGTTAATACTCATATAACATATCACAATCATAGATAGAACATGCAAACTCCATATAGACAAGATACGCAGTACTTTCACCAATGCTCACCAATTCCTTCTAGATTTTTCATCACAAATATTTAATAATTTAGTGTTTTTCTATATATATTTTTGATATACTTCTTTATTAATAGCTTCTTTTTCCCAGTATTGCTGACAGTTACTCAATCCATTTGTTAGAGTAGTTACCAAATGGTGCAAAGTTAGTCATAAATTAATAATTAAAAGACTAATAGGTCTTTGTGTACAAGGCAATGGCTGGAAATCATTTACCTTGAAGTATGCTGAATAATGACCCCTTTGACTAACCTGTTAACACATACTCAATTAGATCTACATAGAACTGGACAATGAATACAATTCCATACATCTCACATGTTACTGCAATCTAGACATGCCTTCATTATATGATGTAACTTATCAGCTTGTAATTTGGAGCTAAAACAATAGTTAAAATGGAAATGATAGAGAACTTACCTTATTTAGTTGGTTTAAATGGGAAGAGAAGAATGTCTTTGGCTCTGTGTGTCCTCGCGGTACAGTCAATGCAGCAAGCCGCGTCGGTTCTTACGCAGGCTGTGAGCTAGAAGGGTGGGAGGGGGGAGAAACAAGGGAGGAGAGAGGGAGAGAAGGAGGAGGAGGAGGAGAGAGAAAGAGAGAGAGAGAGAGAGAGAGAGAGACAGAGAGAGAGAGAGAGAGAGAGAGAGAGAGAGAGAGAGAGAGAGAGAGAGAGAGAAAGGCGGGAGGCAGAGAGGGAAAAACGCTAGAGTGAACGAGCAAGGATACACCTCCCGATTTGGTTTTGAAATGCGAGTGTAGTGCTGCGTGGGGCTGCGGTAACGAGGAACAGGCAAGGTCTATGAGAGAGAGGGAGGAGGGAGAGAACAAGAGAGAAACAGAGAGGGGAGAGAGAGAGAGAGAAGAGGGAGAAAGGGGGTGAGAGAAGAGGAAGGGAGAGTGGAGGGGAATGGGAGAGAGAGGGGTGGCAGACAGACAAAAGAAGGGAGGGAGAGACAGAAGAGGAGAGGGACAGAGTGATAGAAATAACAAAATGGGAGAGAGATGAGAGAGGGGGAGAGAGGGGAGAGAAAAGTGCAGAAAGAGAGGGAAGGGAGGGACAGAGTGAAAGGCGAGAACAGAGGAAGGGGAGAGACAGAGGGAGGGAGAAAGCCATGAGTGAAGAGATAAAGAGGTAAGAAAAGATGGTACTTAGATGGAAGAGGGACAGGAGGAGAGGGGGGTGTTAGAGGAGAAGGAGAAATGACAATAGCAAGAAAGAAAGAGAAAAAGAAGGGAAGAGAAAGGGGGGGGTCACTTCTGGAGCAGGCTCAGAAACAATCCTGTACAGTATTAAAACCACATTGAATTCTCATCTTACCAAAGTCAGGGCTTGGCACATGTTGCTGGTTTGGCTAGAATCTAGAAAACTACAGATGGATTCTGCAGTACACCAGTGCAACTGAATGTCCTTGAGCAAGATATTTCACTAAGGGCTGTGCAATTAATCAAATGTGAATCAAGATCATCTCAAATCATCAATGATCTGCTTAGATCAAAGAAGAGGTTTACAGCCAGTCAGCATGTGATTTGGAGCATAGTTCAGACTTTAATTAGGTCATTTTTGATCTGTATTTTAAATTTATTTTCAGGATATGTAAATGTTTTAGTCAGACAAAATAAAATTGAGTTAGAAATTGTGATTGATCAGTGTGAGACAAAACACTTCATCCACCTTGCAAATATAAATAAAGGTGTAAATGTGGGATTGAGAGGCCTTAGACTGACAGTCGCTCTCCTGGCAGTCTGCCCAAGGGCACCTGTGGCCTCAAAAATATCTTACCATCATCAGGATGTACCTATCTGAGAGTACTGAACAGCAATTTACAACATAAATAATCAAGCACATTTAAAAGATACCTATTATGCCAACCTGACTTTAAAGCATGTTATAGTTGTTTTCCCTTCTCATTTCCTCTCAAATTTGTATTTTGAGTGATTCATGCATGTTTGAGTAATCTTAAGTATCTTATATTCATCATTGCTCTGATCAAACCCATTTTCACCACCACTGGAACTCACCTACTGCTCTGTAATTTACTCTGTAATTTTATTTTTTTATTCAGGGATACATGTATAATTTGGTGGCATTGCAGAGACATTTTGGTTAAAAAAATGAAAAATAATATCTGCTGCTTGCTTATGTGATCTGCAATAGGTTTTATTCTGTGTAAAAGCTGCTAACCCAGCAGTTTAGACCTCCACAACCATGTTCTGAAATACATGTGATTTTTGTATTAGTTTAGCATCAAATGTCAGCCTTCTCTCAAATATTAATGCTCCTGGAAACATAACTAATTGTCATTGCAACTGATCACTATATAACAGTGAGCCAAAAGTTTGCCCATTGGTGTATTTTGTGAAATGAAAAGTTAAGTACAAAAACAGTGCGGTTCTATCTCCCCCTCACAGAGTCCCATGCACAGACTGCTGTTTACAGAGAGCCGAGAGTGGAGGTGTGGAAACCTTACCCAGAGTCAAGGTCCAAAAGCCACCACAGGCCAGAAGAGGAGGGGTCCAGAGGAAGTCCGGGGGGTAGGTCTGATCGGAATTATCTCACTAGACTGCTTTTTGAGTTTACACCGCAGAAATCTGAAAAGAAAACCAAAAAGGAAAAGCTTTGATAGAACAAAATAGAATACAAACCCGTCGGCAAAATGTTGCATGTGAAAATCTTAAAGATGTTAACTTTTTTGGTGGAGGGAAGAATGTTTTGCATCTAAATCTCACTTGAATGCATATTTTTCAACATATTTTTTTGAAATAAAAACACCTGAATACCGTACATACCGTAGTCTTGATTTACCTCTTGTTTAGGATTGGCTTTACAGACCCATACAGTACACTTGTACATTTTAAACAGTTGGCTACTTTGCATTTAAATAGTTTGAAGCAATACATTTCTGAGTATTTCTGAGTATCCATAGCGGACTAAGAACTATTGTTACACTGCAATGCTAGAAAGAAAATAAATGACCAACACAAATATTTACTACAGTCTACAAACATAAACAGGCTACAGGCGAATGTGTGTGAGCTATTTCAACACAGCTAAAATATGCTGTTTAAGTGTATGAAGAGATTGAGCAATGCACTGGCTCAAATAAGGTTATGATTTCACTGCAATCATTGCAAAGCCAGGGGAGGCTGAACAAATATGTTTTTGTTTTCAGTACTAAAAATGTAAGTACATCATCAGCACATGCTCCAACTATGTAAACATGGTAGTTATCAAATTACTTCAAGTTATGTGTAGTACTTACAAAAAATTATACTCCTTGCACAGTTACAGCATTCTAAACTGCATGGACAAACGAAAGGGCCTGAACATGATTTTTTCTCCCCATGTATTTGAGCAAAATTTGCTTTGTCCCAGATATAATGTATGCATATCCTGAGGTATGCATCAGGAAGGATCATCATGGCAAAACTCTGTACTGGTTTCAGAAAGTTGAGAAAAGCACTCATAAACTCAAAGTGTATGTGTACTAACTTACTATTCAACACAAGGAACAAATTTTAAATACTTTGAATTCACAAATTTGAAAAAAAGTGGTCAATTCACATGAAAGGTGCTGTAAACAGAGATTAGAAACATTGACTAACACATGCCATCAATCATGCGTTACAGCTAAGAGCTAAGCATTGGTCCCGTGAGCTGATTTTAGAGATTATAATGAGAGCTTACAATGCAGCATGACCACTGGTTAAAACATGTTGTACAAACACTGGGACGATGTAAAAACAGGAAAGCAAATAGTATACAAGTAGTATACAAAAAACAACCAAACTTTTGTAGGCTAATCCTCCAGCTAAACTAGTCCAGACCAAGCCTAGCACTGGATTCGCCCACTGTTCCTGACAGGTTTAACCTAGAGACAATGGGACGCACAGGTCAAATGCAGAGGACAAATTTCTCTATACAGGTACAAGAAAGTGCTTAACTAGGACTGCGCAGTTACTAATCAAATTTTCAAGAGAATTACAATTATCCCACCATTCGATATGGGCAAAGGTTCTGCAAATCCACTCTAATCAGCAGCTTTTAAAATGTCCATGAATAACTTAATACATTACTTATGAATTTATAGTTTCACTACAAGTTAACTTTTCAGAGTGCATAAACAAAACATTTCAATGGTGACCCATATTGTTTTAATAATAAAGCAGTTGTCCATTAGCATTAGTCCTTTTAGAGCAGTAAATGTGACAGTGTTATCTGGAGTATTGTGGTTTTGTGGTCACTTGGGCTAAAATAGACTTTACTATCAGCTGGGTGCAGTGACAGAGGAGAGTGAAGGGACAGTAGGAGGTCATGATAAACTCTGGTCTCTGAATAAACACTGTCTAAATAAATACAAAAGCAGCTCCATCGGTTTATGCTCAAAATCAGCTGTATATATATATATATATATATATATATATATATATATATATATATATATATATATATACATACATACATACATACATAATACATAATACTAAATAGATACTTTTTTCTCGGGTATTTTGAAATGCAACACTATTGGATAAAAATAAGTTACAAAAAGTATTTTAAAAAGGTTTATCACATTTTTCAGTTAATACTTTAAGATATTGAATTTACACACTCACTACAAATTTTTGTGTAAATATTATCGACAAGCATGGGCAAGAGTCTAAAAGGGCTTTAATGACCCTAAATACACAGAATGAAATCCACAGCCCCACCTTATATAGACAGGAGTGGCTTTTCAACGTGTAAAAACCAAACACCTTCAGTTGTTTTCTATTCAAGATGTTCAGTCAATGTGTGAAGAAGAGACCGCAAAACAGTGCACAAGTGCCATCTGCTTGTCTCCATGGAGATGTGGCTGCTTTTTCTGGAATGTTCCACAATGGCATTAAACATATGTACAGTGTCTTGCATTTATTCACCTGCCCATGGTTTTATTGCTCAGAAGTACCTTGAAATACAGGTATCCAGTGAAGCAAGATTGCCACTTCGCATATTTGACTTGAAACTTGGCCTGTTGCTGCTAAATGCATGTCTCCATGAAGATATGAAGACAGACAGAGGTAAAAGTTAAAGCCATACTACTGAACAATCTACACAAAGCAGTAGCATCTCCATGGAGACAAGCAAATATACAGTAATTGAAATTATTGGGCCTATCCACTTGTAACTTTCTGCCAGAAGGACATCTTCTCTGTCAAAATAAATTAAAGGGATTTTTTTCCTTAATGGCCTAAAAATGGGGTGCCAATTTTCAAACCTTCTTGGACCTACTTTGTGCTTGAGTAGTACTTGAGTAATATTATTCTGAAGTAATGTTACTCTCAGTTTTTGGCTACTCTACCAACCTCTGATCAAGCTAAAACATAGCATCATAAAAAACTCATCTGTCCCTATATTTGCTAGTTAAAGGTCCTATATTACACAAAATTGATTCATGTGAGCATTAAGCCAATGTTACTGCATCATCAAAAATATTCTTAGAGTTGTGTTTTGTTTCATTCACATATGTTTGAGTAACCCTTTTATTGTTAGTCTGTCTACATCTAAAAAGCTCAAAATGCTCTGTTACAACTTGTGATGTCATGAAATTGTAGTTTTCAAGTTAACAGCTACATTTTACTTTTTGTTCAGTAGAGATCGGCAGGGCTGAAATTCTAGTGAAGGTATACTGAGTTTAAAAACACAGTAGAGCACTTCCTGTTTTCAGTTTGAGAGTCTAAATATGCAGGGTTTGTGTTTGAAAGATGAATCAAAAACTAAACAAAACTCTAGGCATTTTTTGATAAGGAAATAATGCCAGAAAAGAGCACAATACAAGCTCTTTAAAGAATGGTACCCTCAAACCAAATGCTCTTTCTCTTTTCTCTCGGTTTCCGGTCACTTCCTGGGGCATCCTGGTTTGCCTCTCTGCCTGGTCACACGTGTGAAAAAGGCAGTCTTATTTCAGCCCTGCGGCAGTGCGATGCAGAGGACAGAGTTATGTAACAACCAGGAAGCCACTGCAGCACAAATGTCCATTACATCCATACACCCCCTCCCCATACACGCACACACTGTAGATGGCATGTAGGGTTTATATGCTTCTTGGGAACATTACATTCACTTGCATTAATTTCTTGGAGACTTATCCTAACCTTAACTATACTCACTACTTGCCTAATCTTAATCTAAACCCAACCCTTAAGATATTTTAACCCATATCTGAATTTTAAACCATGTTGTTCTACTAATAAAGGATTCATGAAAGATGATGTGAGTGTGTATGAATATGGCTCAACAATTTAGAAAAAACACCAAATTGTTATTTTTCTGACAAGCACTGCGATTTATGTTTTAATAATACAGTCTGTTCCAAATTTGTGTTAATTATGTCAATTTCAGAACATGTTTATACGATTTAAACTACAGGGTTAGCGTTTTTTATTTAGTTGTTTGTGTAGGAAATGATGGTACTTCAACAAATAGCAGCTTTTGTGATTTGCTAATTGCATCCATTGAAACTGCGGTTCTATTTGATTGTGATTTTGTGTACACAGATTTTAGTCCCCACAATGTTATTAATATCAGCATGCATGTTAACACAAAAGCACACCAGCACTGAAACACACACGTCTCTGCAGATCTGAACCATTTATTAGCGGGAAAGGCAGCGGACAGTGATGTAGTGTTTGCAGACTACAGTCTCAGTACTTGGCAATTACCTAATGTGTCTCGCCTACAACTACAAAACACTTCCAGTGAGCTCATCAGGGAATTAAATCTGCAAAATAAGACTCTAAATACATATATATCCATGTTTTTAGATTCTTTAACATCTACTTAAGAACATATGATGTTACGCTAGAAACAGGTTGACGAGCTGCTAATTTTGCAAAAAGTCCACATTGTTTTAACCCTGGCATTTGCTTGAAACACAGTTGGTCAAGTTTTTTTTTTACTTCAGTAATATTAAAGATGTCTCCTTCAAAAATGTTTAATTGTAATCAATGTAGAGTTGGGCAATATGATAAAAAAAATGTATTACTTATTTTGAATGATCATTGATATTTGATACTGTTTTATTCAGTTTTATTTAAAATGAAAAAATAAAAATGTTTTTCAGTTTTTCCTACACATAAACAATACAGACTTAATCTTCACCAAAAATGTGTGATCTTCTCTTCAAAATTTTCCATGTTCTCCAAACCACATGTTTTTACAGACAGAGGGTTGGCTGTAGGTCATATAAAAAAAATTTAAAAAAAAGACCCATTAAACATTACTGAATCTTGATATCAATTCAGATTTGATTAATTGCTGAGCCCTAAATGAGAATATTTCATTTTAAATAATACATACGTTATGATAAAAAAGGAACAAATGCATAATTAATTATGTGAGAATTTTGTCTTCTCTAATTCTTGTGAACTAAATCTAAATCTTGAACTAAAGTCCTGTAGCATCGTCTGTTCCATTCCAATTCAGTCATTCTTTTAATTTGTCACTCACCACATGCTTTTTGCAGAAAACTCAATTCCCCTCCTCAAGCATCAAGGTGTCCACCTGAAAGATAGAAATTACCATTGTAAAACATTTAGTTCCATAATTTTTTCTGCTTTACAAAACACGTTGACCTACAGTTTTGTAGGTCAACGTGCATTTACACCACTATAAATCATGGTTCATTGGGCTTGTATGCATAACTGTATGTATGTATGTATAACTGATTATTGCTAGCTTCTGTTGGCATAAGTCAACACCATACAGATCCATGGTCAACACACGTCATAAAAAAAAAAACTACAAGAAATTGTAGGTAAGCTAGCCTCACTCATAAACACTGTATTTTCAGCCTAAACTGGCAGTAAGTGTGTGCAATTCTGAAAATGCGAAATACAGCGAGGTTGTTTCAATTTTCATAATATTTAATTTTACACTTTAAAGATACCCACCTGAAAATGCACATTTCACCTGCAGCGTGTGTCTTGCCACGTGCCGGTAGGACACTGTGCGGAGCAAAGTCACCTTATATGAGCCGTAAAGATTAATGTTTGAAACACTACCATCTAGTGGCCAAGACAGGAAACGGCCATAAGCTGGATAGGCCATGGACAGGCTCACACATAAAAGGTCACGTGAAAAAGACATTAAAAAAACCAAACAAACAAAACAAAAAATTAAATAAATAAATAAACAATACACAAAAAACAAAAATAACAAAAAACAAAAAAAAAAACCCTAAAAGATACAAAAATTAATCAGTAGGGACATTTATACTGTTAGTAACTCAATAACTAAGCTAGATTTTGTGTTTTCATGCAGAAAGTCATTACTGGAGGAACTGTGTTTGGAATATAAAATTTAGTTTTAGTTTAGTTTTTTTCTTTGCCAAGCTTAGTTTTCCTTAACAAAACGTGCACAGGTCCGAACAACTTGAAAAAAATCGATTACTCACTTGATTACTCACATCAGATCAGGTAACTGTGTTTACATGGCATTTCAATCATCTAATAACTGCAGAAATCAGAAAATTATCAGATTTTTGAAGTGCATATAAAAACTGCCAGAGATAGAAAAGGTGGGGGAAGTCGTTTCTGTGTTAATTCGGTTTTATTTTGAAATGTTAGGATGCCTTGCTTTGGCTGCCGTGCGTAAAGTTGACGTCTCCGTTACGCAGCGTTTGCACGTAGCGTCACGAAACCGAACCGCTCCGTTTTCACCGCTAACTACCAACGTGCTCCAGCTAACAACCCTGCCCCCCCTTTAAATCCGACAGATAAACCCAGAAGCACAGGAAAAGGGAGGAGAAATATGGTCACACCGGCACGGATCTGGAGAAAAAGCCGCCGCCCCGGAGGAGACAACCTGACACCGGCTTGTGACCACTCTGCACACGGGAACTGAAGAGCTCACGGGCGAATAAAACCACAACAGCACTCGGCTCCTCTTCCCTCTCCTCCTCCATTTTGACCGTGGATGATGGAGCACATCCGGACCCCCAAGGTAACTGGATTTTTTTTTAGCAATTTGCATCCCAAATAGATAGATCTTTTTGAGGTATAGAATTGGTTTCTTTCATGGGGGCACCTTGGCTTGTTATCCTTTGCTAGTGGCTCCATCCTCTGTATCCTGGCTCTCTCTTATCTTTCAGTTTTCCAACTATCAAGCTAGAAATGTATATTATACCTTCAATATCTTTTCACTTAAACCATGTTTTTCATATTAATGTAATGATTTTATTAATTGTTGATGTTTGTTGTCAATATGCCTACATTAATTGACACTGTATAAGGCTACCTTTAACTAGCCATCCCTGTTCTTTGCTATGAAGTATTCATAACCCAAATAATGTATTATAGTAGCCATTTGGTTAGCATTATACATGGATTCATTACTATCTGTGAAAGTAAACATTAAAATATAGATTGGTTTATGAGATATTACACAGTTTTTCAACCTTACCATGGTGCCCTATTTTCTACTACCCTATTCACATCACTTCACTAAAACGAATTTGGTAAACTATATGATTTCCTCTTTCCCTTTGTATGTTTTAATTTGTTACTGGCCTATGATTTTTATAATGCATTTTATGATTTTATAATAGACATGTGTATTGACTTATCTTGTGACTTCAACCATTCAACCAGCCATCAGTACGCTTTGCTATCTTTGGACATATTCACCGAATCATTTGAGAAAAAAGAGGTCCTGAAATCTATTTTATTAGTCAGCTCTTTGACACCAGAATTTTACTATTACTTCTGCTAATCTCATCCATTATAATTACACTTGGACCAATCCTCCAATGTTTTCAGTAAACATCACAATTTTGATCCAAAAGGAAAACCAAAACAGTGTCGAGGTCTATTGTCCTGCTATTACACAAGTGCTCCACAAAATGACATTAACAATAGCAATTTGGCTCAATTAAACCTCCAACTGATGGCACATTTTGTTCAAGAGTTCATAGAGTTGTCAGAAGTATTAAAAAAATCAAGGAATTCCACAGATATAAGACCACTTGGTCATATAAAAAAAAAGTACAATGATTTAATGTTGAAAATCATATTCTATTCTCTAAATAAAGAGTTTTTTTTTTTTTTTTTTAAGTTTTTTTTTTTTTTATCCTCATGGCATCGGAATCGATATTGAGTATCAAGCCTATTCCTTAAATCGACTTTAAAATTTTAGTATTGTGACAACACTATTAGCTGATACTGCTTTTTGATGACAAACTGATCGTAAAAACACGTTTACATACAATTTTTCTTTCTAATATTTGTTTAATATTGTCATAAAGTCTTTACTACTTTTGAAAATAGATCGAGAGTCAAAAAACATTCAGGAGGAAATACATTTCCTTTTTCCATACCAATAGATGTTCAACTCAGTAGTTTTAGTATTGATTAGTAGTAGTAGTAGTATTATTTACCACTCTAGTTAAACGTCTGACAGCATATTGTTGTCCTCCAGTGATTTTGTAAACCTGCACCACAACACATGGCTAAGCTGTGGTTGAGTCTTGCTTCATATTGAACTGTCACACGAGTCCTCTGAACACGTAAATGATTCATAAAATGTGACAAGAGTAAAACCTGCTCTGGTCTGACTTCTGCTTAGCATGACTCCGCACTCAGACAGGGAAACTACATTTGCTCTGTGTCATGAATTTGGAATCATGTGATCTTCATTAGGATTACACATTATATCGCAATCAAATAAAAACTGATATTTCACATTGTGCAATTCTCAAATTACAAAGGCAGCAGTTGTGTAATTTCCTCATTAAACAACAAAATATCCTGTCCTGTTCTGCATGAAAACTGCTAACCCTGCTACCTATGCTTACAGTTTTTTGATCTGTACAAACAAAAATGTGAGTCTTGGATTAGTTTGTCAGATCATATTTCAGTTTTAAATATGCATGTATGTGTATATATACTTTATATAGGCCAGTATATTGGCCAGTAATATTTTCATACAGGTGAGGGGCAGGTTAAACATTTGTGCATTTACCTTTTGGATATTTCACCGTTTTCACAATAAATAGGGAAATCTTGTCTCTTGCCCCCCATCTGGGTATATGACATTATCACATGCTAGAATCTGAAAACCACCCAATATACAGTTTGAATAGCATTAAAGGTTCATTAGATGAACTTGAGTGATTACATTACATTTTGGTTGTACAAGAGGAACAGGGAACAAACCATAACAAGTCATATGATTTAAAAAATGTTACAGAGAGGACTAGAAATATGAATCCCTGAATGCCCTGCACTTAGACCTAGACAAATTTTATTGATCCAGAAGGGGAAGTGTTTGGAGACAGTAGCTCACACATCACAATAATTATTATTATAACAAAGAGCACTAATATAAATGGTAATAATACATTGAAAATAAGTAGCAAAAAAATAGCATGAGACTAGTGTCAAATAACATGTAATTATGAGGTGTTTTTTCCATTCAGTGTGTTATCGTAATCAAAGGACGACACTATCACCACAGTTTGCATCTGTAGTACTAGTCAATTAAAGAAACAACCTTACATAGTGCTGGATTTTATTATTTAAAGATCAGCATGTAACTTTTCTGCTACCAAGGAGTTGTTTTTGCTTGCCTGGAATGTTCTCCAGTAAAGCCCTAAACTTATCTATCTTGCAATATTTAAACTATGTCTTTTTTGTTTTGTTCAAAAAGTACCTTGAAAACTTTTTTCTTACTTTGAGCGGGCTCGCCTGTCTGCCGTTCTGACCATTAACTTGGCCTTGTGGCATCATTTGCTTGTCTACATGGAGATGGATAAGTTTAATGCCATACTGTGTGAAACGTTCCTGACAGGTAAAGCAATTATTTCCATAGATACAAGATGGTAAAAGATCTTTCTTATACTAGTCCATTCTCTTGGCAAATTCACTTTATTTATTGCTTTTCTATAACAAATATTATTGCCTTTTAGTGAAATGTGAACTGTCAAAAGTCCTTGTAGGGACGTTTGTTGCAAATTAGCTCCCTAAAAAAGTTACGTAATGAACCTATAAAAGTAGTCTGAATGATCATTTAATTTGCCTCTCTGTTTTTTCTTTCAGGTGGAGCAGGTGCGTCTGCTGGACCGCTCCTCAGGCCAGAGAAAAGCAGCTGTAGGAACTCTCTACCTCTCAGCCACTCACACCATCTTTGTGGAAAACAACCCCGAGACGCGCAAAGAGACCTGGGTATGAAACATATGCATACACACTTTTTATTCTGTCGTCTCATGCTTTTATTGTTCTGTAGCTACTTTGAGTTTGTCTAATGCACTTTGGTCGACTGTGTTGCTTTTAAAGCGCTCTATAAATAAAGTTGGATTGGACACACACAGTACTTGCTTGAGTCATGAGAAAAAATTGGCCTCACCATTTTTTATTTATTTATTTATTTAATATGCTGTAGAAAAGTAACTTGCCAGCACAACCTTTTTTGTCTAATCACAAAAAAAAAAAAAAAATCACAAGTAGGGATGGGACAATAAAACAATATAATTTGTTTTCACCTATAACCTAACAAAGTACAATACTGAAAAAGTTTAAATATGGAGCCTATTCATAATATTAAAAGTGTAATTATTCATATCTATAAAATTATAAAACTGTCAGCAACTTTAATAAATTATTTCAACTTTGATACGTCAATTTCAAGATCGTCCCATGCCTACTCACAAGATCATTTTCCTCATGTGTACACAATCTTATCTTGTGACACCAGATCTTGTCCCATCCCTATAATATAATCAACAAGTTTGAGAATGAGTTTTAACTTTGTAATGTTAATAATTTTGGTCACATGTCTAGTTGAGTCTACCAATTAAATAATTTTGTAAAAATAAATTGCAATAATTGTGACTGGTCGACTGTTAAATGATATGATACAGCCTCAAAACACACATGCCAAAAGACGGTTTATAACAAAATACAACATTATTAAATCCAAATGGCAAAAAATAATTTGCGATTTTCACTTTTTATCTAGTCTTCAGTCACCATATTCTTAAAAAATGCATTTCCAAAAAAAAAACTATTCACAGTGAACTGACTAGTCTAAACTAAACTAAACTAAACTAGACTAAAATAGCAAATAGGCATAAATAGAAGTCATGCAACAAAATGCTAGATTATTTTCAAGTGCAAGTAAAAGGTTAAAAACTGTTAAAAATCTCAGATGTATTTACTCAAAATGTTTACTCCCCATTCAAGGTTGAATAATCATATCAATAAAAATCAAATCTGTCATCCTGAAAAGTTCGAGAAGGTCTGAAGTCTTCAAAGAAAAACATAAAAACAGAGCAGGCAAAATTAGCATTAACCGCTGTTTAGCTTCACTGTCTCTTGCATGAACTTGTCCTCATAACCCCGACTGACAGTGAATTATGTTTGACAGGGAGTGAATGGGGAAATATATGAGCTTCTTATTGTGGCAAAGTCTTCTATAAATCACAATAACATATGCATCTATTAATATTTTATTATAAGTTGTCAATAGCCTACAAAAGGAGGATTAGCTATTTACACAAAACACACCAAATAATATGGATGGGGCCAATATTTATTTGACTAAACCTGACACCTAACCTTTGACATTAAAGTGACACTTTGTAACTTTTCTGGAGGAGGATCCACCACCTGCTTGTTTTCTTGAAGATGTTATTGCTCTGCCTGGAATATTCCTAATTCTTCAAAGTAAGGGACTTGTTTAGATATACATGTTTAATTTCAACCATGTTCATAAATGTGTATTTATGATTTGTGGTCTATAGTTTCCTGTGTCTGGCTCATTCAAATTGACTTTTGTCCTTGTCTTCTGAGTTTCTCCAGACAGATTCAGGCACAAAAAACACCACTCCTTCTTCTTCCTATTCTTCTTCTTCTTCTTCACGCAGGCGTCTTCTCCTTAATCTTTCCATCTCCCTCCTCTCTCCTCTCTTTTATCTCTCTTTTTTCTCCCCCTTTCTCCCCCTCTCTCCATCCTCCTCCTCTTGCAGATGTCTGACAGCTGCAGAGGAGGAAGCTGTTCCCTGAGGACCCAAAACAAAAGGCTCCAATGCAGTGTCACATTTCACTAAAGACACAGTTCAGCCAAAAGAGAGGTTCAATTAGAAGAGGTTGTTATACAGTCATTTAGACTGTTATTAGTCAGATTATGCCCCTGAGTCTGCATACAGCTATTTACAAATCCAACCACCCAGATGCATGTGAGTAATGTCAGAGCATAGTTAGTAGCTTACAGAAATATTGATCATACAAATGTTTTTAATTATGTCTAGTTTTATAACGTCCTTCACCACAAATTCTCCTTTTGTGAAGCTGATATACGATTTTGTGGTTAGAAAACAGCATGTTCCCTCTTGTAATAGAAAAACAATCTAACTGATGTTTCTACACCTGGAATTCAAAATTTTACAAAATTTTTCTTAGAAATACTTAAAATCCATAGTTATCTAGTTATTGAAAATGTATTAGGGAATTGCAACCTTTCAGTCACCTCTATTCCCTAATTTTGAACATTCTGATTACAAAGCATCTTAAGTGGTCTATAGTTTATTGATTTTGTCTCAGTACCATTTCCATTTTCCCTTATGTATTTCAGATCTTGCACAGTATGGTGAGCAGTGTGGAACGGCCCCCTCCCTCCCCTGTTGGCTCTCAGCTCCTGCTTCGCTCCAAAGACTTCCGGGTTTTCCAGCTGCTCGTCCCAAATGAGAGAGACTGTCTGGACCTGCACGCGTCACTCACACGCCTCTCCAAACCAGGTCTGGAATTGACTGGATTGTGGCAAAAAATTCCAGTTAAACCAACAGAGAAAATAACATGCCCTAAAAAAGTCTCATGGTGATAGCATATATTTGTATTTTAAGTGACCCAGTAGTTATTAGGATTGTTCCATGGGTCTTTTTATATTCAATATTGGCTAATGCATCTCTTTGGAAGGTGCTTGAAAAATAAAACTTATTACAGATTTTTTTAAATGTGAAAAAACATACAATCTTGCTGTGAGCAGGGTCACCACTCCAGAAATCTGACCTGTAACTTGGTGATATCAACTGCTTGACAGGCAGCTGGTGACAGACCCTCCACCAGAAAAGTGCACCTTCTGTATTTCTTTTCTTACTGTTCTCTTGTGTTTATCATTTTAGAGAAGTACAGTGAGTTGTACTGTATGTCGTTTAACCCAAATGTGAACAAAGAGGAGAGGGAAGAATCCTGGAGCTTCATAGACCTGATGGAGGACTACAAGAGGATGGGTGTCCCCAACAACCTGTGGGTCTGCACCATGGCCAACAGTGAATACAGGGTAAGTTCTATTTTTTTCTGTCTGTCTCCTCTTCACAGATTTGACCTGTGTTTCTGGAGATAAATACATTTAATGTCATAATGTGGAATAATTACATTTAAAAAAACAACTAAACAACTTAAGAAAGGGTCATTATGCAAAATCAACATTTTGGCGCTTTCCATCATGTTATAATGTTGCTCATCAAAAACATGCCTGGTTTTAGATGTCATCCATGCATGTTTGAATATTTCTGTGATCTCTCCTGAGCACTATTCAAACCCTCCTTGTGGATCGTTGTAAGACACTGTGCAAAGCCTACATCATCCATGCCCCCACATGACAAGTTTCCGGAAGCATGATACAAAACAATACACTACCACAATCCTAATTTGTGGTGCAGTAGTTTCATTAACGAGATGCATTCTGAAGGGGGGAGTGATTTAGCAAGGAGAGCAAAAGTAGGGGAACAGAAGTGAACTTATAGAACACATTAATGCATTGTTGGCGGCATTTTCAAAAGATAAGAAGTAGCATGGTGATGTGTAGTGTGTACTCATCTGTGTAGTTATCTGGACCTTTTTTTTTTTTTTTTTTTAAATCAAGATGCCCTAGGGCCAGGAAGACTCTTAACAACAAATCGAGCTCAGTGAAAATTCTAGCTTCTCAGGCCAGCCACCTGATATTGAAAATTACTTCCGGATGACAGTCAAAACAATGTCTCAAATTTCAAAAACAGCGACTACCTCTGAAACCTTTATTTACAGTACTACCTCATGTGTTTCAGATCTGTGACACATACCCGTCTGAGCTGTTTGTGCCTAAATCTGCCACTCCGGCTGTGATCGTCGGGAGCTCCAGGTTCAGGAGCAGAGGACGATTTCCAGTGCTCTCCTACTTCCATCAAGATACACTGGTGTGTATAAAAATATACAGAAATGCTTTGTTTAATATTATGTTGTTTTATTTTTGCTAACTTGTATTATTAATTACATATTCCAGGCTGCTATTTGCCGGTGCAGCCAGCCCCTATCCGGGTTCAGTGGGCGCTGTACGGAAGACGAGATGATGCTTCAGACCATAATGAAATCCAACCCAGGCAGTGAATACATCTATGTGGTGGACACAAGGCCCAAGGTAAAGCAGACAGACAGAGATCAATTCACTGGACAGTGTGGATGGATTAACACACTGTGGTGGTAAGCATTACTATTTCAGTGCAAAAAAGTCCAGATTCAATTCCACAAACATGTGGGGCCTTTTTGGATTGAGTTTGGGTGTTCTCCCTGTGTATGTGTGGGTTTCTTAATGTATTTATAAACATGCTTAATAGGCAGATCTTCCAGCATGATACTCCTAAGGCTAGAATAAGAATAGTTTATTAATCCCTTGTGAGGGTAATACATTCTCTGCATTTGTCCCATCCTTCAGTGCTGCTGGGGCATCCTGTCAGGAGCAGTAATGACCCATCTCTAAATCTTGAAGCTTGATCAAGGCTACCTTAGCTGGACGCTTTCAACTCTCTCAGAAAGAAACATGCAAACCTGGAGTTGAACCCACAGCCTTTCTGTGAAGGATGAGTGCTAGCCAATCCTGCCCATGAATCTAGCTCACAGCTCTTGACTTCTAAACACTGACACATTATATCGTGCGCACTAGACTAGATAGACCCCCTACAGGCAGACTGCATTATCACTGCTGCTATGTGTGTGTCCAGCTGAATGCGATGGCCAATAAAGCCGCAGGAAAAGGCTACGAGAACGAGGACCATTACACTAATATCAAACTGCAGTTCATCGGTATTGAGAACATTCACGTGATGAGGAGCAGCCAGCAGAAGATCGTAGACGGTGAGAGGAGTCTCTCACTTTTTAAAACTGTGTACTAATTCATTTTAATGCTCTGCCCCCCCTCCACTGACTTGTGTCTATTACACTGAGTTTCTTTTGTCACTGTCCTCCACAGTGGGAGAACTGCGGGCCCCCTCCATGACGGACTTCCTGTGGGGTCTGGAGAACTCTGGGTGGCTCAAACACATTAAAGCTGTTCTGGATGCCGGAGCCTTCATCGCCAGGGTGAGTACTTTTTTTTTTTTTTTACAAGGAGAACTATTATATTGTTTTCAGGTATTTAGTATCAAACTTTGACACACAAAGATCATCATTGTACATTTTGTTCTTTACAAAATCACATCAATAGATCAGAAGTGAACCTTTTAAATCACAATATGAGAGGTTATTTAACATATCCCTGCCAAGAGTTTTATGACTGACTTTTGATTCTATGCAAGTTAATTTTTTCACTCATCCAGGCATGACAATACTCAAAACATATGATTAGGTAAACTCCTGTTTTCTCCAGGCGGTGGCAGATGAGGGCGTGAGTGTGCTGGTTCACTGCTCTGATGGCTGGGACAGAACAGCTCAGGCCTGTTCTGTGGCCAGTGTCCTGCTCGATCCATTCTACCGCACCATCAAGGGACTCATGGTAAGGAGCTTATATACATTACACTAGAGATGTTCTATATAGTATTAAGTCATTCAATACAAGCCTCACAATACTATGCTATATTCAAACAAAGAACAGATATCATATTATGTGTATTTAAATGACCTATATTATGCAAAATTGACTCTAGTGAGCTTTAAGCCATGTTAAAATGGTATTACCTCACCAGAAACATACCTTGTTATAAGAATATGTTGGGTCAGCTAAATTACTATGGCTGAAATGCAGGTTTTGGTTGTAATATGCCCTTTTCTTGGGTTTAGACACGGCTATATAAAACTGTATTACTGCATTATTACCTGAGATGTATTTTAACACATTTCTCTGTCCAAGTAACTAAATAACATGTGTAATCTCAAAACTCTCAACAATTTAGATCCTGATAGAGAGAGACTGGGTTTCCTTTGGTCACAAGTTCTCCCACAGGTTAGTCAATAAGAGTGAATGTTTACAAATATTTAAAATTTGGGGTATGTCGAATATGTATTTCAAATTTCATAAACAAAAATAGATATGTTGATAAAAAATTACATTTGACAGTCGTAATTTACATGCATATACACTACCAGTCAAAACTTGGACTCACCCTCTCATTCAGTGTTTTTTTCTATATGCTTACTAATATCTATATTATGATATACTGTACATACAGAAGACCTCAAATATATGAAGTAATTATGTAGCAAAGAAAAAAAGTTGGATAACTCTACTAAATTTTTTTTTTTGGCAAAGCAGAGATATGAATATAAAATACTTTAGTAGAGTTATACTAAATAATTCCATATATCTTGCTTCATATATTTGATTTTTTAATCCAAATATTTTTTTCTGAATCTAATATGTAGAAAGTAGTAAGAAAAAATAAAACACTGAATGAGAGGGTGAGTCCAAACTTTTGACTGATAGTGTATATTGAGGATAGTGAGTGTTCTTTAATGGCCATATTGTATACATATTTTACAGTTCAAATTGAATGTGATTTTATGTTTTGTCTTGTGTTGCAGGTATGGTCACCTGGACACAGACCCAAAGGAAGTGTCTCCCGTCATAGACCAGTTCTTGGAATGTGTGTGGCAGCTTTCCGAACAGTTTCCTTGTGCCTTTGAATTTAACGAGAGCTTCCTGACCCAGATTCACCTACACGTTTACTCCTGTCAGTACGGAACTTTCCTCGGCAACTGCCAGAAGGAGAGACGTGACATGAGGTGAGCCCCATAGCAGCAAGGTGTTTGGTTCAATTCCTGGGTGGTGAATATCTTTTGCCTCTCATTCAAGTAGCTTCTTCAAGTCACTGCACATGATTCGTCTTTAATAATGTGAAAACTAAAAGTGTCTTTTAAACAGTTTGTTGTGCTCGAAACTTAATCCTAATTATTAACTGTGATGGGTTTATGAGCGCTTTTCACAAGACCAGAGTTTTGCCATCACTGTTACACTAACATATCTTTTGTTTATTTTTAGGCTTTGTGAGAGGAGTCACTCTGTGTGGCCTCAGCTGTGGAAAGACCGTGCACAGTTCATGAACCCTCTGTACAAAGCAGAACTGACCCAGAGCCAAGGCATCTTAAGGCCCAATACCTCACCATTCTGCTTCAAGTAAGACCAGGACTAAAACTAGACTAGACCAAGACCGAACTAGGTCTAGACCGGGACTGAACCAGGACTGAACTAAGACAAACCAGGACTAAACCAGAGCATTCCAAAGCTCAATACCTTATCATCTAGTTTCAAGTAAGAGCGTAACTAAACCAGGATTAAACCAGAACTAAAACAGGACTAAACCAGAACTAAAGCAGAATTAACCTGGGACTAGACTGGGACTAGACTGGGACTAGACTGGGACTAAACCAGGACATACTCTTTATATATTATATGTCCTCTCCTTCAGGATGTGGAAGGGCCTGTATAATCGCACAGAGAGGCCAACCCAGGCACCTGTCGACCTTTTGTCAGCCGTGAGGGCGGAGTCACAGCAGCTCGAGGAGGAACTGACCAATCATGAGGAGGTATCGCCTGGAGGACCCGCCCACCACCACCTGAGCTCCAGACAAGGCATACACGCAACCACTGCTTTTACATCACCCATCAATGTAGAGGAGGCCAGGAGCTTATGATATCACTAAGCCTATTTGGATCCATGGCATGTCATCATTCACACAACATTTATTTACTTTAAGGAAATATTTCCTGTTTAAAGCTGCAATATGTAACTTTTCTTATGGAACGCCTGACAGAACTTTCTGAGTATAGCAATATTACATTCAATTCAATTAGATATTTTTATACATTTTCCATATTTTGATAAAATATATTTCTTGCAGTTGTCTTTCAATGTCTAATTACATTTTTTCTAGCCTGTGAGCAGCTTTACGAAATCACACTTTCTAAATGAAAAATTTATATGGCATAAACAGACAAAGCACTTGGGTTTAAGTTAACCCATCATATTTTTGAATGTAGATTGAATTTTCCTTCTTACATTTATTAATATTTAGTTCTGACCATTATATTTTGACTTGATTAATAAAAATGAAAGCATGAATGAAGTAACCAAACCACTCTTCAACCCCTCTCTATCATTTCATTTACCACAGATTCAACCCTCAACAAAGATTTTTTGTTACCACCATTATGTAATAATTCATAGTGAACAAGAATTTGTCAGTCTTTGTAACTACTTAATTAAAGTGCTAGGATATTAATTAAGTAGTTACTAAGAATGCTTGAATCATTCTTTTAAAAAAACAATTTGTATATTATAATTTAAGTATTTATCCTTTACTAAGGCTATTAGAAGTTTAGTTATACAGATTTTTCTTCATAATCACAATATTTACATCCAATTCTCATTTCTCTGTATGTGCAGAGGATAGCAGCCCTGAGCGGTCGTCCAATCACGTGGGAGAAGATTGATGTTCCTCGGCGGAAAATCAACCAATCATATCTGCGCTTCTGTGGACCAGACCCGCCCACAACATACCACTACCCAATCACCAGCTCTGATCCAGACCGCACTGACAAACTCTGCCACGTACCGGCCAATCAGACACCTCCGCTGCAGGTCAAGGGTCAAGACCCTGACGAATTCAGTGATTTGGAGTCTGGAGTAGCGGACTTGAGTCGATCGTCGAGTGGATGTGATTACAGTAAGGACCAGGACGTAAATGGATTCAACTCAAAAGAGGGTTTAGTCAGAGCACACTGAAGAAGAGACAAATGGATCATGGTTTAAAGAACACATATTATGTATTCTTGTGGCTTTAATTCACTTATACACATGCTTTTGGTCAGCTTGGGGCAACAGGATGCTATGCTAAGCAGTGCCTTTGTTGTAAACACAATTTGACCACAGAATTTGATGATGATTTATGGGCTTAAAAACTGCAGAGTTTTACTTGTGACACAACAATCCAGGCAAAATGCTAACTGAGAATGTTTGAGTGCACACAGAGGAGAACTTTGGATTAATGGGTTCATGAAACAAGCATGAAAGAAGAAGAAGAAAAATACAACTAAATATGCATTTAGTTTTGAATAATATGTGTTCTTTAATAATTTAAAGGTAGAAAATGGTGGCTAAAGAAATGTCATTCCTTTCTTTTTAAGTATTTTACAATTTCACATTATTTGATACTGTTTAAGGTGCACAATTTTATTTTTCTATGTGTTTTAATGTTTTAAGTACATTCCTCAAAGCACTACTGAGCACCAGTGTGGGACTTTTCTTTACACAAGAGTGTAATAATTAAAATAAGATAAAATAAACAACAAAATATCCTGGCTTATTCTGCTAACCCTGCAAGTTAGGCCTCTTTAACTTTAAGATGTGCACTGACTGATGTGAATAGAATCCTACTGTAAAGCATCTTATTTGTCCCAAAAACTGCAATTAGATATTTTTTCCAAAATTCCCCTAGCACAACTCTGTGTTATGTTTTTCATGTCAAGAGTGTTTTCATGCTCCCAGTGCTGTTGTCCGACTACAGTAGTTGTAATTTTGAAAACTTGATACTACCTACTACAGAAAACTAGGCACATATTTTATATTGCGATGACGAGATCAGAGACCAGAATTTCACCATAATTTTTCAGAACTCTGATACAAAACTCAATTTAGCATTTACTGTTAAAGGAGAATTTAAAGCTAGTGCTCTAGTTACATTAGCTGGAATATACCGGTAGTACATTGATATCAAAAAGGAAGTTTAAAGTGTATGTGACCGGTTTTCATGTTTTTCTCATTATGACTTGGTTTGGTGAGATTGCACCTGTGGTATATATTGATCACAATTTCACATCAATTAAGTGACAGTTTGCAGAAATTTAGAAGAAAAGTAAAAACACCCAGAAAGTTGTTGTGAGTTCTAAAATATAATGTACTTCTACCCACCATCAATGCAGAGCATTCTATCTAAAATATACAATGTATACAGAAGGATGGCATTTTTCTAACAAGTTACACATTGATGCAACAAAATAAGGTCATTTGTAATTTAGACAAGTTTTGGCCCTTGTTAACAGTAGGGTTGCTAGGTAACAGTTATGAAATTACCTCTACATATGTCTATATATCTGCTTACTATGTCCAACCAGGAAGGAAACTAAACTTCACTAGAATTACCTGTCATATGCAGTTTAAACATGGCACTGATCACAAGGCAAGTGAAAAATACTGTTTGAATTCTTTTATTTTTTAACTGCACTTATTTCAATTGTATATTTTTTGACAGCGTAAATAAATGCAGTATTTTATACCATGAACGGTTGATCAAAAAAACACTTGAACAAATGACAAATAATTCCTGTTTACATTTTTAATTTATTTTTTGTTATTTTGTGCAATGTATTATTTAAACATCACTATTTGTTTTGTATTGACACTTTTACTTTTTATTTGTTAAGACATCCTTGTTTAGATCCTTTTGTTGAAACTTTTGATGCGTTGATGACTGCAAAAACATGGTCCTTTGAAACTGAAGAGAACTGTTTTAATGCTGGAATGAGCCTAAATAATGAGAAACAAAGATGGAAATGTGTCTGCATTAAATAAATAACTTCTTGAGTTGCATTTACTTAAATTCAGATTCAGATTTATGGTTTCTGAATGAGATTAAGATGGAGGTACATTTGGGACAAAGTGTCTGTTCAGTGATTTGAATAGACTGGCCTCAGATTTTGGGCCTAAGACTTCTCTGTACATTTACCTGTGTATCCTGTGATGTGTGTCATGTTTATCATTATTGTAACTATCAATAAATGCACTGTACAAAGGGACAGACCAACTACTCATAACAGTCTGGTAGTTCTTATATTGATCACTATGGTAACAAGCATTAAGAGGTGTACATCACTGGACAAATGTGTATAGTGGGTATATATATGTGGCCAGTCATGTTCAAAAGAATTGGAGGAAAAAAAGAAACACTGAAATATGAACTAAATTTAAATTAAATTAAATTTAAATACAATAACCACATTTCAAAATACAGAGCTTAAAAGTGCAAACGTCTACTTTTATGCAGAATAAAACATGTTTGGAGAGGAATTTGTTACTTGTAAATTGCATCCATTCAATTTTTTTATTTGATTTAATTGCAGTTAAATGTATAACCCTATTAAAAAGCTCAAGGCGAAATCTAATTTCTGGTGTTTGTTTACATGCACAAAAGAAATCAGATCAATAAAAACAACTGGTGACGTGTCAGTTAATCAACAGATTTAAAGTGTTTAAAGTCCAAATTGTTTTAGAATAACTTCTTTCAGTCTTTTAACATTTGTATCCTTTTTTTTTTTTTGTCTTTGCCACATTAGTTTGCTCTTTTTTGAATAATCTTTCTTGCTGTAAAGAAGAGAAGCTTGGCATATTCTCCATCAAAAAAAGTTAACTCTAAATCAGAGAGGTCTCCAATTGACATTTTACACTGACTGACAGAATCAAAAGTAAAAATTATTAGATTATAAATAATTGCATTATAGTGTGAGGGGGTAGCTTTGTCATACGCTATTTTGAACTAATATATGCAAAGTGGGTACTTCGTGCTATTAGCAAGGTTAGTGGTTAAATCCCAGACTTGTATACCGGGGGGGGGTATACAAGTAACCCACCCACCCACACACACACACACACACCCCCACACCCCTCTCCTCTCATACAAAAGAAGTTCAAGTTAAGATATTCACACATTTATTTTCACTTTACTTTCCCTTCATTTAATTAATTTCATTAGAAGTCAATTTTACAGTAGCACAAGAATTACAGTAGGCTTTAAGAAATAACCTTCTATATGTTTTACTGACCATTTTGATCATAAAAGGCAAAATACAGTGAAGTTACAGTGACAGTGATTTACGATTTTTGTAGAACAAGGATATTAAAGATTGACTATTGAGCTTACAGGTCAGATCTGTGGGGATGCTAACCTGCTCACACTACCACATGTTTTTCAAGGCATTTTTTTCCCCCAATACAATTACCTGTAACTGAATAACTTCAAGGTAGACAAGTTAATGCTGTGGATATGTCCAGACAATTAGCATCTCCATGGAAACAAACTGGTATTGTACACACCACCAGATAAATTACACAGTGCAGAGTCCTTTTAATTCCAAACTAACTGGTCAAAACTATTGTAAGCATTGTATGTCAGTAAAACATGGTACAAAGTAAGAACATTATTTATATTTGAGAACATATAAAACTGCAGATATAAAATTGGTAAGTAGTCTATAATTTGTATATTTATTTACAGGTTTAGCTTTAGTCTTAAAAGAAAAATCCCTCACTCAGTAACTTTTTTTTTTTTTACTGCAAACTTGTTATACCTATTTGAGCTCAAACAGCACCAGGACCAAACAGGACCAGTTTAGCCCTGGTTGAGTTCTGATTCAGTCAGTTCAGTTTGATACCCTGGTTAATGTCCATTGTTTAATCCTGAATAGTCCTAGTTTAGTTCCAGACTGTTAAACCCTAATTTAGTTTTAGGTTAAACCAAGTTTACTACCTATTTAGTTCTTGTAGTCCTAGTAAAGTAATTGTGGTTAGTTTTTATGAAAAAAAAAGTTGCTGGCACATTTGTATAGTTTGCTCTGGACTGGAGACTTCATGGCCGATGGTCCGTTCGTCTGAATAGATTTCATAGTCATTTCCACCCTGAAAAGAACAAATAAAAACAATCAGTCATTTTAGTCTAGAATTACACATTTTCAAACTACTTTTGAAGACATACGTATTGGTATCTTGAGTTCTACAACTTGAAATTAGGGACGTCAAGACGATTCAATTAATCAATAATGACGATTATTCATGCCATAAAATAATAACTGCAGCAATCGGATGCTGCGTCATGTAAGAGCAAATTCTTTTTTAATTAAAGGTATACAGTGTAGTTTTCTAGCGCCTGTCACTTGCTCCTTTCATAAAAATATTGCTTTACCTGGAATCTTCCACAGTATTGTATACTACATGTTTCCTCCATTAATTCAATGACAGTTTTTCTTGATTTGATTCTGTAGTGAAACCTGCTTGTCTCCATGGACATTGTTAACTTTAATGCCTTTAGTGGAATATTCCTGGTAAAAAAAATACAAAAAACATAAGGTTTTGGTCCCTCAACCTATAAACATAGTGCCCCCTTTAAAATGTGGAGATGTCCTTGTAAATGTAAAATTCTCTAGATTAACCACTTCTATATTCTTCATTATGTCTATTGTGAAGTCTTATCATTTATCTTGATTTTGACTGCATGTGTCACCCATTTTCAAAAGGATGCACTGCAGCCCGGAGCAGCATACTTTCCCTCTCCACAGCTGGATTCCTTTGTTTTCACTTAAGTGTTTAAATTTACACATATGTGACAGCCATCGTGTCTGTGCTATTTACTAGCAGCTCTTTTGAAATTCAGAACTCTCTCCAGCTAAAACCTCATTATTATTGAACCAAGGTTGTTTAGCACTTTAAGGAGCCTCAAACTACTACTATCATTCTGACACCGTGAGGTGTGTTTTGGATACTTTAAAAAGAACCAAGTAACTTAGTTTTTCAGCAGTAATTCATGGACTAAACTTGGAATAAGCCAGGGACTATTTTTGTCAATTTATAAAACCTAAAAACTGACAAAGTTCTTTTTGTTTTGTATTTAAAATATAGAAAATTGCAATTTGTTTACATGGTTAGGTTATGTTGATCAAGATTATAATCACTTCTTTTTTTCTGCGACAGATGCAAAATTCTAAATAGTAATTTTTTTCCTGTGACTTCAGTCGGTCCAACAACTGTGCCATAAAATATGTTCTCACTTTTCACTTTTTTCCCACTTTTCTAATCATCATTAATTTAGAGGTGATATAGAACTCACAGGTTTGGTTTTGTCTCCAAAGAAGTGAATGGAGGAGTAATGGTCCTTTTCGACGATCCCCAGACAGTATCTTTTATCCCAGCCATCCGGAAACACGTCAAAGCTGATTTGACCTCCTGCAGAGAAGCACAGGAACATTCACACCTATTGCTATAACAACAGTTACTTGGATAGGAGGATGCTGGGAATGTGTGCACAGTGAGGCTGCTCTAGTGCAAACGGTTCTTTGACGAGACACTTTACCCACAAAACCTGAATGAATGAATGAATGTGGTGAGTGTTTTTGGGGAAGATGGCGCAGATTGGCAGCCTTGCTCAAGTCTGTCCCCAGGGCAACTACAGCTACAATTGTGGCTTATCCATATCAAGATTTTGTTTATTTGATAAACATCACTATTTAAACAAATTAACACAAATCAGATAAGATCTTCAAACAGTTACTCCATAGGTTTACATATAACGTATATACAAAGCAAATGTAACATGACTCGCCTATGGAGAATGACAGTCCTCTTCCTTTGAACTCTTCCCTCAACACAGAAACAAACTTCTCTCTGATCTTTTCTTTCTGTAAAACATCCATCATATAAAAGTGCAATGTGCTATAATTAGGATAAATATATAATGACATACTATAAATCCCTATGGGCCTTGAGTGTTGTGTTTGTACCTTGTCCAGCTCAAAAAACTCCTGTCTTTCTTCTTGTGTGCAACTGCGGCCGATGGGAGAGACATTCAACATCCCGTTTCGAAATTCAATAAATGTTCCCCTGAAAATATTTACAAGCCATGTCACAAAAAGTCATGATAAGAAATATCATTAACATTTATGTTCTTTGTATTTTTCTCATTTACCTTTATGCAAAGTGTATATATTCATAGGTTCATAATGATGAATTAATTTGGACTATTTTTGTTTTTTTTATTAATGTTGAAAAATTCTCAAAATGTCACATATAACAGGAAGCTGAGATCCAAGAATAGGTAGTGTGTTTAAAGGTGTGTTCTGCTTGTTCCTTGTCCCACTCCCCTCTGAGAAGTGCAACTGTTTCAGAGGTCTGCCTGCTGCCCGCCAGGGATGATTAGATCCTAGATGCCCCTTCTGTGCTCTGATCCTGTTCTGTGGACCTGGATCCTCCTCTTCTCTCAACTGATTGAATGATCCCTGCCCTATCCTGTATGAGCCCCCCTCTGTCCTCCAGTCTTAAAGGGTCTCTGGCTCTACAGATTTCAGCTTTATTTGCAAATGGATCTGCTTTAGTCCTGGACACATCTGTAGCCTCCCCATCCATGGGAGTCAATCTCACCTTCACTGTGGTTCTCTTCCAGGTTTCTCTTTTTCCCACTGGTTTTGTTTCAGTTTTTCCTTGCTGAGAAAGAGGGTCTAAGGACAGGGAATGTTCTGGGACAATTAACCATTTACTTGTTTTCTATGAATGTTGGTTAATCTGCTTGTCAGTTATTGACCAATATCTGTTTCACTTTAGGATTTTCTAACTTCCTGTTGGGTAATGATCTTGTTAAGCCCTACAAGGCAACTGGTGTTGTGATTTTGGGCTTTACACTCACAGTAAGAATGCATGTTCTTCAATGCATTTTTAGCAATGAATACACACACACAAAAATAAATACAAGAAAGGTTATAGAAGAAAGATTTTGTGTCATACTCTATAAAATATAACTTTCCAGACAAAGTAATTTATGATTTATGATTTCCATGAAGACAAGCAAGTAGCAGACACCCCAATTATTGATTTTCTGTTATACATACTGCATAAATTTATTTCAAATATCTGATATTGGTGGCAAAAATAAACAAATAAAATAAATAATAAAACAGGATTTAGAGTCACCTTTTCTTTGGCAGCTTGATCTTGGCCATGTAGTTTAAACAGAAATTGATGAAGTCTTGGAGTAGTTCTTCTCCCATATGAGCTTGTATCGACTGAGAAAACATTTTATTACACTGTTTTAGTTCCATACTTATTTGAATAATTAAAATAGAAACCAATAACATTAGTAACGTTGCTCTTACCTGGACAGAAAGTAGCTGTCCATTTTTATAGGCCACAAGTCCATTTTCAGCAAATACATAGTCCACCTTCTGGATAACTAGAAACAAAAGAATATTTTATTAATTGTCCAACATTAAGTATTATTAATAGGGCTGCATAATATATCCCAAAGAAAACACCATTATAATTTGAGTTCAGTTGTTATGATTATGCACTTATTTAGATAATAGGATGTCCTTCTTTTCACAGAAATGTATTTTTATGAAAAAAAAAAAAATAAATATATATATATATATATACATATATATATATATATATATATATATATATATATATACACCGTTACCTGTACAAACATATTCTTAAAGGCAGGGGGTTCATCTGTTGTGATTTTAATCTTCTCTTGCTCCTGGATTTGTTTACAGTGTGCACTCTGAACAGAATCCTACTTTTTAAATCTTAATGTAATCGCAACAGAAAAATCACAATTACATTTTTCTCCCAAATTGTGACATCCTAATTATCCAGGCCATGGGAGCCCAATGGCAGTCACCTATCAGTCATTTTGCCCATGTTGTTTACTACTTGTCAACTTTGAGCACACTGAAAAATATGAATTTTTTAAAATGGTAGGTTAACATTGCAGATGGATTTAGCGGTATTTGCAAGTTCATAAACTCTATTTAGAGTCTGGCAGAGCAATCTGCCGTGAGCCAAGTTAGTGGTTGGTAGAATAATGTGTCCAAATTAAAGTCTTACTATCTTCTCCAAGCTGCTCCTTGATTTTGCTCAGGTCTGATCCCCCAACAACTCCAACTCGAACTCTCGTCTTCAGCTTTTGTAGGAACTCAGACATGTCTGGCGTTGCTTTCTGAAAAATGCACCAGATAAATTTGCATTTACTCAATTTATTGTTCAAAATTTCTTTCACAAGCATGCATTTTTGCTGTAAGCTGGCTTTCTTTTTTACAGATCTGACCTGCTCTGACAGTGCCAAAAGCTTATCTCCATGCAGATGGCTATCTGATGCAATATTGATGGCAAATGCCATCCTGTGGAACAATCTAGGCAAAGCAATATTTCCATGTAGACATACACAGGGAGCGGGCCCTCTACCACAGGGGGGTCCAAACTATGGCCCTGCTATCTTTTGAAGATAAAAGTTAACAAGTGAAATCCTTTATTCATTTTAGATTGCACTAATCTTAATCTTAATAACTAATCTTAATACTAGTAGATTGCTGTGTGCATGATGATGTGTCCTTTTCTTCTCTTAAACAGAAATAACATTGACTGGTTACTAAAACTTTGCACCCTTGGTACAATGCAACATCTTTGGTACGTTATTGACAAAAATACTACATCATTAAAATGTATTTAAAAATAAATAAAACTTACTAAATAACCAGTTTACAAGACATTTATGTGGAACTATTTATTACAATGGCATTTCGCACGGAAGGAAAAACCGGACGGACAACTGACGTGGACGAGCCTGGAATGGTTTGTATGAAGTCCGTTTAGAGTTAATTTTTGAACATTATTCACATTATTTGACTTTATTTTGGTACCTGTCTGGGCGCCGTGAGAGTCCCATCTACGTCGAACAGGCACAGCGTAGTAGTGTCCACATTAGCGTCCGTCATTTTGAGTTTTGTCTCAAATTTGTCACTCTTTCGTGCAGTAAATAAATTGCTTCTTGCCTTTTCTACGATGCTTGCTCTTATATGTTCACCCTACTTTAGCATCTAGGTGGTCGTTGAATTCTCTTCTTGCCACTAAATATAATCTTCATTAAAAATAAAGACAGATTTCGCTCCTTGCTCACAACATGCAGAAGTCACAACATCCACTGACAGTTTGAGTGAATGGCGAGAGGCATTGAATGGACTATACCGCCATCTAGAACCAAGGAAGAGAACTGCAAAATGTGTAATTGTTAAATAATAATAATAATAATAAGCATAATTATTACTAAGATGTATGTATATTGCAACATGGTCATCTAAAATATATTCTTATATTGTAAATAAATTGTAGTATTAAAAAGTTTCTCTAGCTGACTTCAACTTGTATCTGGTGAGGCTAATGTTGACAACAGCTTGAATTTTCTGGAACAAAAGGAGCCAAATATGCTTTGTCTTTACCTATGAGCCAGAGGAGGTGGGGGTAATATACTTTCTAGTTAGTCAGTTTCAAATCATCCCTCACATCCATATTCAGGTTGGGGGAAAGTCTGACCGAGTGTTGCCTGCCTCAGAAGTGTTACCTACCTGAAATGAGAAGGGGGCAGGTAGGAAATACATGACAAAGATAAAACTGCAGTGAACCTTTTCCCTTTTGTTGTGGCCAATGTTTAAGTGCAAATGTACCCCCCTCTGTGTCGAACTCCTCCCCCAGTTATATGCAAACTACTACATGGCTTTATTGTACTGGGCTGGAGCACTGCTGCAAATAGGCTACAACTACGAGCCTATATTTACACTACAACTTGCCCTACTAGTTTGTATAGCTTACTGTTTTTATGAAAAGGATGTAGTCATATGTACTATCTAGTAAAATAGTCTACTATCTACTAAAATATTCTATTCTGGGCCAGTCTTCTGTCCCCATGCTATTCTGTGTATCTTGCAAGTAGCTATGTATGACCAAAGAAATAAAACAAGCAATTCATATAAAACGAATACATGCAACACATAAAAACTTTATTTGTCTGTGGTTAGTGAAATAGACTATTGGTTTCAGCTTCCTGTTAGATGATATCTGTTTCCCATTCAAAACATATAGATATTGGTTTTGAATTGTTATGGCAACAGCCCTCATTTTTCATCAGTCTGAAACCCACTGATAGGCTATTTGAAAAGTTTGACACACTGTGTTTAATATCATCTTTTACCTATTTACGGTATATATAAAATCTATGGTTATAACATAACATTGCAGAACTCTTACTTGACTGACCCCTGGTGTTCAAAGGATGTACAGATTATTTATTTCACTTCATGACCCGATATGACTTCACTTGCTTCGTCACACAAGAGAACAACACAACAGGAGAAGAAAATGTATACTCTAATATTCAGAATTATGATAGAACTTTGTCTTCTAGTTGTATTTTTCCCGTTTTTTAATGAATTAATTTATATGTATAACCTATGAATACACTTTATTTTTCTACTATCATTATATTGCTTTTTATTGCTTCACATCACAGCAAAGTGTATTTGGTATCATTCATACTTTTTGGTCATAAACTGTACTGTACTGTACTACAACTAGCTGTCAGCGCCAGAGCACATAATTATGTAGAGAATAAAATTAATCTAATAGACACTTGTTGCTAAGGTGTTTTGCCAGTGAGTATCTGTCCTAAATAAAATAAATTAATACAACTATCTTGTAGATTTGCTTTTTGCTTGCCTCTGAGTCTGATTGCAAGCATATTTTATTTACTGTATGGGACTGCATCTACACTTTATTGCATTTGTACAACTGCATTTCCTAATGCATTGTGAGATTTACAAAATTTATCATTTATCTTGTATTAGCTTCTATGCAGACACCACACACAGTATTGGAAGTCGTAGTAGTAGTAAAATAGGTTTTGAATGGTTTTTGACTCGGGGATAGAGGGAAAACAAAGAGCTTTTCGCGCCGTGTGTTTAAAAGTCCGCTCCAGCCAATCACAGCGCACGCAGTACAACCAAGCGTTATATTTGACTGCCATGCCTCTGGACCAATCGCGATAGTGCGTATCCTCATTTAAAAGTAAATTCCCCTAAGCTGACGAATCAGGTGGCGGCGTGGGCGGGCCTGTCGAAGTTTGTGCGGCTGACAAAACAGTTGCGCTTCTCTCCTTCATTCACTCGTCTTCTGCTGGTCTTGCTGCGAACAGGTAAGAGTACTTGACTTTCCTCTTGAATTTTACCCCTTAATGTACTTTTATGGTAAACCCAAACGTCTAAAATTGCGTTTTTAGCTTTATCCGGTTCAACTACCCTCCATGCTCTAGTTTATAGGCGAGTTTCATAACTTATTTTCCAAAGCGGCCATAATCTGTGAAAGTAGGTTAGTATATTTTAGACAATTTTGAGTTATTTTACCGTCTAAAAGTCCTGCGGTATGTTTAAAATTTACGTGGTGCTAATTGGAGTGTTGAAGCCTACTTAGACGGTCAAAATTTTAAGTTATCGTAAAAAACACCACGTTTTGTAAAAATAGCCAGGCCTATTTTGTCGATAATGCGTGTAATATTGCCCACACATGTTTTAGCTTGGTGGAAAATATGCGTAATGTGTTTGGTTGTGGTTTGTTTTGCTTGTACGAGGCTGAAATGAGCTATGAGTGTTCAGTCCGCCTTGTTCATAGCACGCAGTTCAAACGCCATTTGGTCTGATGGCAGCGCAGCCTTCTTCACGACACAGGAGCGCAGGCAAAGTTGAACCCACAGCTACGCCGCTGTTTTAAACCCCATAAAACCTTTTAAAATGACCGTAAAAACAAAGTTATATCACGGTGGCAAGTATAGATGAGGGGGATAAAGTAGGGGCGCGACTGGTAAGTTTTTTGGCGCAGTAAAGTTTAGGCGGGAAGATACAAAATGGAGTCTTGTCTTTTTGTGTCAGACGCTTAGAAATCCGATTATCACCCCGGGGCGTCTGCTCACCGCAAATTATAACAAATTACGTATTTTCTTGCACGTATTTTCAAATATGACCGTATTACTTTGAACATTTAACCATACAATAAATTTATAAGTAACTTTGGTTTAAGTTTACAAGCTCCCATGGTAGTTTATTTATAGCTCACTAAACGACAAACAATATGTAGGACGCACTCTTTCCATTGTTTATAACTTGTTTAACTCTGGTTTACAGTGATTTAAGTACAGTACTTAGGCAATTTTGGCTTTAAAAAAAACAAAAAAAAAACTTTTAATAAATGTTAAAATATTTTCACCTAAAATCTTAAGTAATGCACTAACAATAGTGTGTATTTGGGGGTGGGGGAAATTAGAATTTATGTATACATGTTTACTATATTGACCATGATCTGTGTTATTTACAGAAAACCGAGCCACCATGAAGGACGCAAACAAGCCAAAGGGCAAGATGTCCTCCTATGCTTTCTTCGTGGCCACCTGCCGTGAAGAGCACAAGAAGAAACACCCAGGAACCAGCGTGAACTTCGCAGAGTTCTCCAAGAAATGCTCTGAAAGATGGAAGGTAAGGTCCCAAATGGTTACACCGCCCATGTGGTTTAAATTTTGAGATGCAAGTCTGTCTTAATTTGACAAATTTGAGATTAGTTCCTGGGTCACAGAACAGTAATGAATCAGTAGTAGAAATTGAGTTTTCAAAAATACTGCCATTACAGGAAATTGTTTGTCAACTAAGCCCAGTGACTTACAAAAATGCTTAAACACAAAAAATACTACCCTCACTTGCTTACAAGTTAAAAACACAATACAGGAATTACTCTAGTTAGTATGCCAAATTTACATAAGTGCTTAAACCAAGAATGCACAGTGGCTAAGATGACATTGCTTTGGGTACAAATTATATTCAATATATTACAAAATGGTATCTTGTGATGAGGTTAAAACAGGTCAATGATATGATTCATGCTTTCTTTTAGACCATGTCTTCCAAGGAGAAGTCAAAGTTTGAGGAACTGGCAAAGACCGACAAAGTCAGGTATGACCGTGAGATGAAAGACTACGTTCCACCAAAAGGAGCCAAGGGCAAGAAGAAGAAGGACCCCAATGCCCCCAAAAGGCCACCGTAAGTTTGTTTGTAACTATTAGTATAAAGTTTATGGATTGTTTTCCAATTGGAGAATGTTGATGTTCCACTTTCAACTGGAGAAAAAAATATAGTAGAGCTTTTATACTGTAATCAGTATCTTGCCATATTTATCAAAAACCACCTGCAAGGTTTCAGTTTGGGCAATTGAATTGACAATTGACAACAGGCTGCAACTTGTCTTTATTTACCATTATTTCAAAGTTCACTATAGGATGTTTTGTACTTGATAGGTTGGTTTCAGTTACAAACATTTTGCATTATTAATAAAAATAAAATGATTACATAGCAAAACTAATAACTTAAAAAAATGTTTCCAGGTCTGCCTTCTTCGTGTTCTGCTCAGACCACCGTCCCAAAATCAAGGAGGATAACCCTGGCATCTCCATTGGTGACATTGCCAAGAAGCTGGGAGAGATGTGGTCCACGCAGAGTGCCAAAGACAAGGCTCCATACGAGGCCAAGGCTGCAAAACTCAAGGAGAAATACGAGAAGGTAAATTAGGACATGTACAAAAATGTGGATATTCTAGTTCAACAGTTACAAGTGGTCAAATTCTGTTAACTTGACCACAAATACAATTTTGTCCCCTATGGGCCCTAACATGGTCTTCCCATTACAGTAATCCATGTTGTACTGATACTAAGATTGTCTTGATAGCCAAAATTCTTTAAATTTTGGTCCTTTTTTTTTTTTTTTTTTTGTATTTGGTAAATTGCCATATCTACCTATATATTGGCACTTGGGCATCAAATTAACATGTAAAGGTATGTTCAACAAATCTTACAGTGACTTCAAATCTGGGTTATTTTAACTTTCCTCATTCAGATCTTAATTGGCCAAATTGAAGATCAAATTATCTGTACACATGCACTGACATGCATACCATTCAGACTGACCCATGACAGACCAACAGCTGACATTCAGTACAATTTTCCTTCATGTTGTAACTAACATTGTTGTTTTGGGTTTTTAGGAAGTGGCTGCCTACAGAGCAAAGGGTGGTTCTGGACAAAGCAACACTGGTAAGAAAGGTGGTCCCGGGCGGCCCGCTCCCAAGAAGGTACAGCCAGAGGAAGATGAGGATGATGACGATGACGAGGATGAGGACGAGGATGAAGACGAGGATGAGGATGACGAAGATTAAACTTTCTGTTTGAATATTTTTGAGACTCTTTGTTTCGCTTCAACTGTTTTTGTTTGTGTGGATGATTCCTGCACACTGCAAAAATATCTATGCAAAGTTAAAATTATTTGAATTTACAATATTAAGCTTAATTTTTAAGTTTTGACCTTTTCGATGCATTTAGTTTATTTTAAAGCTTAATTTTTCTTTCAAGTAATTTTGGTTAGGGTTGAAGAATTGCACTTTTGTAAGCCAATAATTCTTACCTAGCCCATACCTGAAGGAAAATTAATGCATTCTAACTGGTCAAAGCAACTAAAATTCAGTATAATCTGAATTCAAATCATTTTAACTTGTGGAGATGACATTTTGTGGTGTATTATAGCCTGCTGTCCCTGTTGTCTGCCTCTGTAGGAATCAGACTTGTATGCTTTCTCAAAATCAGGGATTTAGTTTTTACACTTAGACTCCCCCTCATATATTTTCAAAAAACTCATTTGTCTCATCTTTAGCTTCTTTAACACCTGTCTAAAAGGCGGGCGGATGAATTGCGGACTGAAATTGTTCTTGGCAGTGGGCAGCAGTGAATCAAAAAATTTTAATGTTTCTCGAAGCACTGCTTGAGTTCTTTGTTTAGTGGTGGTGCTGTTTTTCACTGTCATTTTACTACCAGGATTTATCTGTAGTTTATCTGATTAAAAATGTTTGCAGCCATTTTTAATGTGGATCTTTTCAAGTAGATTTTTTTTTGTAATAAAATTTTGTATATTGATTTATAAATGAGTGTGTATCCTTTGTGGTTCAATGAGTGCTTGTGGTCTATTTGATCTTATTTTTGTAGTTAAATTTACATTCATTTAGCTAGTTTATGCTGCTAACTTGACCTAATTCAGCCTAAAGTAAGGGATTTTTTTTTTTTTCCATGGATCCACTCTTCTTTAAGGAGATATTTATGACTGTTGCAAATGGTCCACAGCATGGCATTACTTGTCTATAGTGTTCAATATGAGGTTTTTAATGCTTAAAGGGAAAAGTGCAGTCACCGGCTGATTCTCCTACAGATTCAAGTTAAATGCAGTGCTTGTAACATTCTGGGCAGATCGGGTTTCATTCTGATATTGTGAACTTGGACAGTAGTCCTGCATATGTGATATTTTGTAATCCACTACTGGTTGGTTTATAACAAGTTGGTAAATTTTCACAATAAATCTAGTAAGATCAAAAATTCACATCAGTTTAGGTTGGATACTGTAATAGTATCACATTTCTGGTATGAAAATGTCATTACTTTTACTAAAGCAAGAGGCCTTGATGTTTAAATCAAAGGTTGGCAAATAGGTGACAATTTTAATTCATATATTGTTTTCAGGGGGAAATAATGCAATCCGTTATAGCCTCACCACAGCACTCTGACAGCTGGGACTTGTTAATTGTCATCATTAGCTCTGCTTCATTAGGTTCTCTTCAAATCAGCAAATCAGGCTAAGGTCGTGTATAATTCACAATCAGATGGAAATGCAAATTACAACTGGGTTAGTTTCAACGTGCAATTTTGAGTAATATTACTGCTTTCCAAATGTGATTCTTAGTACATTATAATCTAGAGAGACTAACTCAAAATGTAAAAAGTGGGACAAGTTGGTTAGGACATGGAAAGAGTTATTTGGTGAATTTAAGTTCACAGTAGATAATAACTGCAATAACACCTTATCAGTTTCAGTTTTTAACCATCCTAACGCTCAACCAACCTTGAGAACAAGTGCACCCCAAAAGTCAGTTTCTTCGAGAGAATTAAAAAAAAAAAAAATTTTTGCTTACTATGCAAATCTCACTCTTATCTGTTTTTATTTTACTATAAAAGGCAATCAGTGCATGCGATTTTATTACTCAAAGATGAATTGAAGTATTTTGAGATGAAATCTAGGGATGAAATGGGACAACAGGACACACCAGGTTTTCACAATGAGGTTTTCACAGTGATGTTTTTATTTATAGCATACATTTTTTATACATATTTTTTCTCTTATAGTAATGAACACTTCACCAGCAGTTAATAAAATAATGTTATTCAGATTCAGACGGAGCTACGTCACCTGTGCGTGGTGACGCCAGATGGGCACTTGTGTTCAGCACCGGGAGCTGTCCGTCTGTACGTGCCAACGCCAACAAACCGACTATTACGGTAAGAAAACCACTAAATAAACACTCAAATTCTGCACACAAATACACGTTTCATTCAGACATTTAGTGACAATATCTCTGCAAACATGACAACTGCTCAATACGTTAATATACGTCGCTTTGATGGACCAAATCTGCAATAAACCAGTGTCTTAATATCGGTTAAGATACGTTCATGGTAAGAAAAATGTAAAACAATGTTTAAAATTGTATTGTTACACGTATTTTAATCCAGATTTTCATTAACAAATCCTTTACCAAACATGCTACCTGTGCAAATGTCAATCTGCTTGTATGTTTAACCAAATCTGTAATGCCACTTAATCTAGAATTATATTAAGAAAGATATCTAATAAACAAACGTACCTACATCCCCAATACTGTAGTTTACACAGTATGTTTGAAAAACCTTTACAAAACATGCTAAGTGCACGCATTTCCACCTACCAAATCTGCTCTGCCTCTTAGTAGTGCCTTAATAATCTAATTTAGACTATGCACGGATTAGCGAGTGCCACTGACTGAAACCTGTTGCCTAGTTTTTGCAATATTTATCACGAGAAATGCATGCAATTTATTATCAAACGGACCCTAGCTATCTTTTTCTTGCAGCAATTTGGCACGGACATTGCTAGTAGTAAGTAGCCGCCTGCCCCTCGGGTTTTAGCGTATTTATCTGAGGGTGTGTTTTAAAATATGTAAATTTGCACATGTGTTGTAAAAATTCTCATACTTTACCTTATGATCGTAATTAGACATCTTGTCATTAGTTGTACTTGCTTAGATTAAAACAGTAGAGTTGGTTTGCCGATTTTGCATTCATGCTCGCTAAATTTCGCTATTTACAACAAGCTAGAATTTACTTAGCTAATGAAGCAAATGGGCTGTCACGATTTCTGTAGACGTGTGAGTTAAACGCCTTTTAAAGCTGAATTTAAGATAAAAACGTTCAAAACATTCATAGGCATTCACGGTGCATAATATGACGAAAATCTTACCAAAATATACAGAAAGCATTCACAGTGTATGTATGGCTATTGTTGCTGGAGAGAGCATCTTTTCAGAGCAGATAATTCCTACACAAATTAGATTATTATGCACAATCACATTGCAATTTTGCTTTTGTCACATCTCTTTTAGCATAGTGGTCACAACAACATGTTCTGAATGTAGCCTGCAGAAATAGCCTATTCCTCCCTCACCCATTTTGCATTTTGTAGTTATTTTTGTCATATAAACTGAAATTACAATGACCTATGAACCCTCTCCTCAAATAATTGGTTGGTTTTTCAAACAAATATCCATTAAATGTTCACAGCGGCCTTGATGCCATTGGCCAATATATTTTGAATAAATATTGTTTTTTTCCCCCTGTAATAACAACAACGTACAAATTGAATTGATAACCAAAGGAAAATTATAAAGTATAGATTTGGAAATAGTTGCTTCCATTTATGTTAATTTGCACTTGTGAATATAGTCCGTATGAGTAGAGTGAATGACACTACTGACATTGTAAAGCATTTTTAGTAATAAAAATGTAGTGTATTATTTAATATAATGGTGATTAGCTAATAATCCGAACACCCCAGTCCAAGGTATGACTACTTTGTTCATAAAAGGTGGTACTGTCCTTGGTGCTGAAGCATTCAATAGCTTCTCTATGTGTGTAATGTGGTAATGTGGCAGGTCATTTTATAGTCCAGTTTAAAGGTATGTCACGTTCTTTTTCCATGGAATCACTTGTTTGATTCCATGAAATATAATGCTAAAACCATGTTATGGAACATTCTTCATGGGGATAGATTGATGTCGTACTGTGGCCAAAGGAATAACATTTCCATGAAAACAAGCAGGAGGTAAATAAGAGTCAGGTTTGCGGAGATGCAAGATCACTCACATTAAGGACACATGGCTTTCTATGTTTTCAGTGCAATAAACCACAAAAAAGGTAGATAGTGTGGCTTTGAAAAAAATTGAATAATTGGACTAAACTCAAATGATATTTTTTCTCAATAGCCATGCTGTAATAAAAGCTTTTTCATTCTTCTGAAACTATAGAGTGCCTTGGATTTTTGTCTTTGTCATTTCAGCCAATCACCACAGAGATTATTTCAATCCATAATCCCATCTCATTTGAAGATTAACACTGTGAGCTGCATACCGTGAATGCTCACAACAGAACAAAATAGAGCTTTATAAGATAAGATTCAAGGATGATGGTACTTAGATCATGAAGTGTGTTATGCAAGGACACATTATAATACATTTTGAACATCTTGGCCAGTGGATTCTATGGCTGCAAGATTACATTGCAATCAACTACAAATTGCTCCTTGAGTGGTCACTTTAGGAAATTGCAATGTTCAGCAGTTATTTAGGTTCTACCCTGTCCGCTGCAGAGAGCCAAATGTCCCTGTGTGTCCATAGGGTCTAATTCTGTGTAAAAGCTGCTAACCCTCTAGTTTAGACCTCAACATGTTCTGAAATGCATGGGATTCTTGGATTAGTTAAACAGTTTAGATTTCAGTCCTCTCCTTAATATTAATGCTGCCTGACATGTTTAAAATGTTGCACTGTTAAAAGTGAATCCTGATTTCAGAAGTTGTAATTGTGATTAAATATATCAAATGAATTTAATGTTTTTCAGTTTGTGTTAATTTTAGACATACAATTTTAAAGGATTTTAAAGGAAGTAAGAGACAGCAATCATGTAACCTATCCCCATGGAGAGGTTATACAGTACTTTGCCTTTGAATACATGCAGTCTTACTGTGAGTGGGTCGCCTCTCTACAGATCTGATTTGGTTGCTGTGACCATCATCTACTTCTAAACTGTATGGTGTTTTAATAATTATGTACTGATCCATTTAGTGTTAGTGCAAACTAAGTAAATTTGCAGCTTTGTGGTAAAAATGTGTGAATATTGTTGGAACATTCAGTCTTCCACAGTTTACTTATCTTTACTAATTTAGTTGATTGTTTCTAGATTACAGCGTTCCTCTCTGTCTGCCCTGTATCTCTCTGCATGCACAGGTCAGTATGGCCAAGGTCCAGCAGGTGGGGCTGTTGACAGCCGGGTGTCAGCCATGGAACAAAGATGTGTGCGCCGCCAGTGGAGACCGTTTCGCCTACTGCGCCACTCTTGCCATCTACATATACCAGGTATGAACTACTCTGTCAGTGCTGTTTTGGAATATGGGTCTTAAAGAGGGGCGATTATGCAAAATCGATAACTTTCTATACCATGTTATAATGTTGTTCCCTCATGAAAAACATGCCTGAAGAGGTTTTAGATGTCATTCATGCATGTTTCATCCATGTTCCCACACGATAATTCTCTATATACAAAAGTAGGATACAAAACTGTATAACAGCTTAACAAAGCTGATACAATGTCGTAGTCACATTAGTGGAATGCTTGCTGATTGTGTTGTGATAATGCTCTGAAGGGGGAGTGAGCGACTTTGCTTGACGAAAGTGAAACTTATAAAACATGTTAATATGTTGTTTTTGGCAAATATAACATTTTTAAAGCAAAAAAGGTAACACTGTGATTTAAAAATGTAATGTGTTAGTAATCAATATCCAATAGAAGC